GGGCTGCCAGCCAGAAGAATCACTCATTTCATACAGCTGTGTAGGAACTTCATGACCAGCCGACCATGTAAATATTGGAATAATATTTAAGTTACGTACAAAGAATTGCGCTAAGTGAAAGGCCTAAAGCAAACTGAAATCTAAAAGCATTTTAAGAGCATGTGCTTGGATTTTTAAAACTCCAGCTGCAGTTTTTAAAGCAAAAAATACACAAAGCCACCCGCAGAGACCTTAGTTCTTTCTACTGATTTCCTTATTACAGGGCACTTCACACTGTACAAAGGATGCAGCACCATTTAGATGCTAACTGTATCAACAGCTTCAAAGGAGGTCCTTTGAATACTTCAACTTGGTCATCAGTAATAACAAAGACTCTCAGCTCTTCTTTTTGAGCCCAGTGGCAGCTTTGACCAACACACTTTTAAAATAAATTTTGACTTACCCTTGATTTAACTCAATAACAATTTATTTTAGAAAATTGTCAAGGTGTGCAGGTATCTATCCTTCTGTCTTTTAAGAAATACAATCACCAACTCCAGGCCCAGGCAACCGTGCCTGAAGCTGCTATACTTCACAGACCAGACCCTTGGCATTTTTAGACCACCCATTTAAGCGCAGAGTACTTGAGGATCTCTGCACAGACTCATTTGTACTGAAAATACTGAACAGTCAGCATATGACCAAGTTCGAGGACATTTGGATTTATGAGTCTATTACTAAGCTACACACGCCTCCTATATCCATTAGGTGCTAGGATGATTTTCTCCCTCTCACTTTAAAACAAAAGACTGACAGCATTAGACGTTTCAAAACTGCAAAAGGAGAAGCTGTGTTACACTAAAAAAATTCAGAGTAAGAAATGAAAACTGTCACTTGCTGCTACTACTTGGATGCAAAAATAAGACTGGCATTTTTCAGGAGCACAAAAATCCTTTTGCTTTAAAAAAAAAACACAGACACTAAGTAGGAAAAGTGAGACAACAAATAACTACGACTGTCATACCGTCTTCAGCAGCCTGACTTTTTGGGAATAAAAAACTGTGACAGAAGGTCAGTAACAGCATTCTCACATTTTGCTAAGTAAGTTTTGTCTTTCACAAAACAGATGTCACAGACAGAACAGCATTTATAACTATTCTTTCTGAGACACCAGAAGATTATCACAGCTCGTTCTGTTTACTGGCATCCTGCCTTACCACCTATGTCTTTGTTAGTTTCTCTACAGTACTCCTACCTCTGTGAAAGAGTTCTTCAATACAACTAAGTCATCCCCTAATCATCGCTCTTCACGTAGACAAGCATTAAAATTAAATAAAAGCCTGATTCTCTCCTTCCTTCATTTGACGGGAGAGCTGTCCCCCCAGACAGGGATAAAACACGTACGCACCAAGTGTAAGCAGCCTTGTTCTCGCATTACCTTTTGGGCACGAAGCTTTCATTCACCTTTTCCCCCTGTATTTCCTCTGGTCTGGTTAACACTGAGATCAGAATACAGAAGCATCACACCACAGCTACCTGTGGCAGGGAGAAGCTCCTTATGTCATCACGAAGAACACGGCACTGGGGTAGGGCAAAGAGAGCTCCCCTCTGGTTTGCCAACCCCCAGCACCCTGGGGTGCTCCAGCAGCTCACCAACAGCCAGTTACAGACCGCTGAGCAGCTCCTCAAAACCTTTTCATGCAAAGGGGAGGCCGAGGTGGAAGCAAACGATGCGAGCACGTCTGCAAGCCTTGGGTTTTCTGATCATTCCCTGGGAGGGCTTCAACACAGATCTGTAATTACCGGACTCAAACTAGAGCTTAAAAAAAAAAAAAAAAAAAAAAAGGATAGCTGGCAGAGCTGAGCGCTTCACACAACGTGCTTGAGACTGCTTCTGGACTGATGGTACAGAAGACACCAAGACAGCCGGCACAGACAGCTTACGAGTGTCCTGTGTTTACAGGCAGTAAATTGCAGGTGGCTCTTTACCAGAAAGGCAACATTTGCTAATGCAAGTCGCCATGAAATTACCATTGTTTCGAATCAAGCTACTATGTCATTACTGCTGAGTAAGTTAGAGTCAAGCATACAATTAATCCATGTCACCACCACAGATAATCTGCAAAACATTAGAGCCATTTAATCTAGTATTTTTAAAAGGAGGAAGAGGGAAGAGACAAAAGGAATTATTAGACTTCCAGTAACCACAAGACAAAGCCTATTAGTCAGAGGCCAATAAAGGAAAGGAAGCCAGCGAGATAAGAGGCAGACCCCTAGGGAGAAAGAGCCAGAGAGAAGGAGCCCAGCCAGGGAATTCTGCTGAAGGCTGTTAAAGGGTTCCCCCTTATCTCATGACTAGCGAGTCCCTCAAGTGTTTACAGATTGCGCTTTCAGTCTCCAAAAGTTCTGGCTGGCAACCTTCAGCTCCTCTTTTATTTTTAAGGATGAGGATGAAAGAAAGCACTGTTTTCCTGACACCCCACACCTCTAATTTTACAGTCTCTTCTTACTCAGAGTTTTCCTGTTCCCTTCATTACTACAGACTCCTGTGCCTAATGGAATAATGACATTGTTCCTGCGCTTCGAAAGTTCTCACAAACAGCCAAAACAACAGGATGATGGGTTTTACAGTGCCCCAAGGCTCTACATTAATTACACTGATGGACACTTCCCCATGCCCAGGAAAGAAAAGAGAGTGCCACAGCGTGGGACAGTTCTGAGCAGTACTGGGGTACTCAAATTCCTGCAGATCACAAATGTGCATCTGCTTACACCAAGCCCCCCTACCATCATTTTCTGCCATGAGGAAATACAAGTTTACACGGCTCAGAGTGTTGGAGTAGTCATGTCCATCCCTTATTCCTCCACCTCCTTTCTGTCTACTTGATACTCCCCTGCTCCAGTACACATCCACACAACACACACGATTTTCTTCCCAGTCCTTAAGGTGAACCAAAGGACCGAGCAGGACGGAGCCTCCCCCTCAACCACACACAAATTTGTCAGAACAAGTCCCTTTGTCTTAGAAGTCCACCAAATGCTCTGGCAGCCTCTTTTCCTCAGTACACACTTCTATAACTAAATTAAAGCCTTCCAAAAGAGCTGTTCTGTGTTTTGATGCAAAATCAGCCTTAATTCACTAAATCATCTTTTTCTTTCATGTTATTTAATGCTAAATAGAAGCAAGATGTAATTAAAATGAATTTCCAAGATCAACAAATTATAAGAAGTGCTGACACAAATTGGCTACAATTTACTATGAACGTGACAGTGTTTGACTCCAAAATAAAGCAAGAAATCCTGCAGAGAAGACACCAAACTCAGCCTCAAAAGAGCAGATTACAAGTCGCGTTGCAGGTTATCAGTCTCAAGCTGAAAGCAGTTTCAAAAACATCACGTTGAGCAGTCAAGCAGTATCACAGCTGTAAGTTTCCCCAATTACGAGTCCTGCAAAATTGTTTAAGGATGATAACCATTCATGTCCCCACAGAACTCGCTATTAGGAAATAATCAGGATTTTAGAAATCATTACAAGAGCTGATATTTGCAGTAAGGCTGTAAAGCCAGTTATACTAATCTGAACTAATTCACCACAGATCACAAGCTCTCCTTTTTCTGCTGATCTGCAGAAAATCTTTGCTTTAAGCTTCAGGCTGCCTGTCACATAAAGGGCTGTGAAGGTTTTCCACAGACCATTAGGTAATGCCTGTGCAGAGAAGGTACAAAACTTTAAAGACAAGCTACAGAATAGACAAGAACGTGAAGGCACATCTCCCTGCTCTCACACACAGCATTAATCAAGGGACCGTGACCTCTTCTGAAGAGTATCTTACACCAGGAGAGCACGCAGCAGACTTCAGATGTGCCCAAGGAAACACCAGCACTCAGACCTCCTCTCTGCCCACTGCAAGCCTAACTGAAACACTAATACCTTAGTCACACATTAACTGCTTGACAAAGAGGCTCTCACACAGATAATCAGAATGTGTTTAGAAGAGATATCTTCTGATCATCTGTTCTCCCAGAAAACACAGAGCGCGCAACGAACCTCCAACAGCCACTGAGGCCTGTCAGCAGCTTTTGGAAAGGTTCAGTCAGCTCTGTGCTTTTTGTCTGTGCTGCTACGGCCCTTCAGAGCACTGACACCATTACCCCTGTCAGTTATTCTGCGGATGTCACCGTTTAAAAAGAAGTTACCAGCTGTGGATCAATGTATATTGGAGTACTTGGCATCAGGCTCTTCGGTTATTGACACAATACCTTGAAGGGCAGCACACCAGCAGCATTAACTCCATAAGGGATGCTCAGGAGACGACCCAGCGACCATGGCTCTGACAGGACTGGCACATCCCTTCAACCAACCTTCGCTTCAAGCCCTGACCACGCAGGACTTGTGGCAGGCGGGCTGTGAGCCTCAGCACAGCCCCGCAGAGCGAGTGGCCCGAGCCAGCCCTCCCAGGCAGGAGGAGCACGGGGGGAGCGAGGCACGCTCCGGAGAGGGAGCAAAACCCGAAATGAGGAAAATAAAAACCGAGCGCTGCCCGGGCAGCCGGCTCCTCCGCGGCCCGCTCCCTCTGCCTTTCATCCCCCCGCTGCCCAGTACCTCAGGGGCCTCACGGACCGCCCGCACAAAGCCGGGCAGGGCCGCCCCGTGCCCGGCCGCCCCGCGCCTCCCTCCCCCCCCCCCCTCAGCCCCCTCAGGCCCCGCGGGCCCGGGCCCGGCCGGCCCAAAGCGCTCGGGACGGGGCCGCTCCGCAATGGGGCTGCGAGCCCCGGGGCTGCGGGACGCCCCGGCGGCAGGGGCAGGCGGCCGGGGGGAGCCCCCTCAGCGCCCGAACGGGGCCGAGGGGCGGCGCGGAGCCCCCCGGAGCCCCCCGGTCCCAGCATCCCCCCCCCCTCCCCTCCCCTCCCCCGGCGGTGCCGCCGCTCCCTCACTCACCGCCGCGCTCCCGGCGAGGCTGCCGGCCTCCCCCCCCTCCCCGCATCACTTCCGGGAGGCGAGCAGTCAGCTGGCGGCGCGGCACGACGTAAGGCTGCGTGCCCGACGCCGCACGCACGGTGAGGGCAGGGAGGGCGAGGCGCAGCCCACCGCCGGAGCGCCGCGGGGGTGCAGAGGGGCCGAGCCGCCGCGGGGCGGGTGCGGAGAGGGGTGGCGGAGAGTGGAGGCGTGGAGGTAAAGGGAGGGGGAAAAGGGGGGAAGGAGGCGCGGGGGAGAAGGCGGAGGGGAGGGGGGAAGGGGAGGTTTGGGGTGCTGCCCCCCCCAGCTGCACGCGTTGGTTGCGCCCCGGCCGGCAGGGGGCAGGGGGTGCCCCGCCTGCAGCGCCCCCCGGCGGCCGGGCGGGGGGGGGAGGATGGGAGGGGGCGGCCGCCGCCATTTTGTGGCTGGGGCTGGCCCGGCCCTGGCAGCGCTTGGGGCTGGGTTGGAGGTGTCCCTGCCCAGGGTAGGGAGGAACTGGGGATCTTTAAGGTCCCTTCCAGCCCGAACCGTTCTCTGATTGTGTGGTTTGAGCACTGGCAGCGCCAGGCACAGTCAAGCTCCACAGCACCCCTTAACCCACCGGCTTCCTGCCCTGCCCAGCTCCCTGCAGAGTGCTGGAGTGGCTGCAGTGTCACATCCAAGATAGGCCAGGGTGTCCTCCATCCCTTGCACCACCTGCCCTGAGTGTCCTTTCCCAAAAACATGAGGGCACTCAGACAGGTGTCGCTGTGCACAGCTGTGTTTCAGTGCCCCAGGTGCAGTCCACGAGGCAGAAGGGCCCAAAACCAACCCATATGCCAACCCAGGACAGTCAAATGCAAATACTGTTGATACTTAGTCAGCAAAACTTGAGAATTTGAATGGAATTCATACACTTGATTTCCAAAAAGCAAGTATTTTTTCAAAATATGTCCTGCTATAGTTCTCAAATTACAACTAAAAATCTTTAGTAGTGTATGTGTGGAAGCCTTTGCACAGCGGTGTTTGGAAACTGAAGCACAGCGTTCATAAATGCACCAAGGAATGAAAGGAGAAAGGGGGCAGGGAGGATTGTTCCTCTGCTGGCATTAATATTTATACCTGTTCTCGAGTTTGGGAGCAGTTCCAGTGCTGGGAAATACTTGTATTCATACACTCAGTTGCATTTGGCTTAAAGCCAATGTATGAATAAGGTGCATAAACGTATGCTGGGTTTTCTGTCTATGTTGCTATATTTTTGTATGCATCAATAATATTATATAAGGAAGGCCATCCAAGGATAGCTGAGCCTTTTATTTTCTCTGCTAAATTTGTTGCACTGCATTAAAACCTCTTTCTCTGTTTATGACTAATAAAGAAATAAGCACGAGGAGAAAACATTTTTAAATCTATGAAATTATGAGTGACAGGGTTGCATGACACTAGAGACAAGTTCATATTGCTTTAGGATTTACCTGGAAACTACGTGCCTTTTAACAGAAAATTAATGAGTATTTAAAGCAATTTTTTCTGCTTTAAATCCTCCTCTCCACAGTCTAAATCAGCATTTGTATTTCCTTCCTGAGGCTACTGAAGCACAAGAGGCACCCCCAGAGCGAGAGTATGTCTACAAAATCCAGATAATGCCTCAACAGCCTCAGACTAAGAGAACGAAAACTCTGTGATCTAAGGGAACTAGTTAAGGGTTTCTACTTTCATTTATTCAAATGAAGAGAATGTTATAGAATCCTAATTTTCTGCACTTTCACCTACTTGAAATTACATGGGAAAACCGGTGATAAAACCCAAGCCCTTCCGTTTACTATATAATTATATTCTTTTTGCATTTGGTTTCCTTTTTCTGATCAAAAGGCTGCTCCATGTGTAGGAGAAAGCTTAAAAGAGATCCAAGTTCAGTCAAAAATCCCAGGCATGAATAGAATGGTGGAGTTCTCATCGCAGCTGTTCAACAGCATACGTACAAAGACTTAGGCTAGTTAAGAGGTGTTCAGTGTTTCAGATCACTTCAATTTGCTAACAGAAAGATACTAGCATAACAAAATGTAAAAGCATTTGAAAGTCACCTTGTTTCCTGATACCATTGCTGAACAACTTGTTTCAATAACTTTTTCACCAAACCTGCTTAGATTTTTGACCATAGCATGTAGGTGGAAACAATGAGAAATACTTGGAATGAAATTAATCCTTAATGGAAATTTCTTGAAATGTAAAGGTTTTGCATCACTGGTAAAAATGAGAATGTAACATCATCATGGAAGAATACGATCTTTCATTTTAGTTTGTTGTTCACCATGTGAAGTTTAGTTTGTTATTCACCGTGGAATACTTTAGCCGTGATTGAATGGAATAGTTTAGCTGTAATTGAAGCTTCACTGTGATTTGGTTTTGTCTGAATCAAAAAAAATAAAAAAGGAACAAATATTGGATCAAAAATGAAAATCAAACAAAGTTGCCACTTCGCTAACTACAGAATGCATCCACATGTGGTCAAATGTTTGCAGTGTACCAGCTGCTAAAAGCCACTATGTCTTTGATTTGAGTAGAAGAAGATTAAATTATTTTTGTGGAAAGTGGATTTTGAAATTTAGTATCTCTGGAAGGTAGCGACCTGCACAGCTATCACAGGAGTCTGTGACCCCTTACAACTCACGGTGCCAGCTGTTGTCCCTTAAAAGAAGCGGACTTGCTTTGGCAAACTTGCACAAAACATGAATACAGGTTACTGACCTGCAGTTGCTGTGGATAGCTGTGAAATGAGTGATTATCTGTTGCATTAGCTTAGTTAAGTGGTATAATTTAGCTATGCAATTTAGCTATGCAATTTTTTGCATCTCTTCAAATAAACGTTAGCCAAAGGGTACATTTGAAAATATGAGGTAGAGATTCTCATATGGGCTGAAGCTGATCATGTTCTATACTATAATGTCACTACATTGTGCTTTTGAGTTATGTTACTTATTTCCATAAGCAGTCAGCCCAGCAGTTTGTCGTGTCTTTAGGAGTCCTTGACAGTAGCAACCTAGCTCTCAAATTGAAATTGTGTTGGTCCTAAATAAAACACTTCACAGCTGAGAAGTTCAAATGTGCTTTTCAAATGCTTCCACACAGGGTTCTTTTCCACCTTCTTCTCCCCTGAGCAAATGTGGTTTCAGCATCAGCATTAAGCGTCTGTGTGTTACTAATGCATGCCCTAGTTAGCTGGGATGTAAAAGAAGAGATAAAATGTTTTAGAATATCCTTTTCTCCATGGGCTATTACTTTCACCCTTTGTTTCCGACAATCCTTTATACACTCACTGCTGGCAGATTTGATGTTTAGAGTAGCTAATAACTGACTTGAAAGGATGAAATAAAATAGACTTACAACTTCAGCAGAGGAGCTGTGCAGGTAGGAGGAAGGTGCTGGACATGCATTCTTAGTCAAGCATCCATCGCTGGGAAGCAGCTCTAATTTAGGTGCTCGTATATGAGTATTTGGTATCTATGCAGCTTGCCCTCTGTCCTATCTTCATTTTGACTCTGCACTGTTGGGGTCACCTTATCATGCCTCTGACAGATTCCTTCCCTTTTTTTTTTTTTTAATAAACTTTTAATGTGAATTCTATTCAAACCTGCAAATACCAAAAGAAGACAGGTGTTTCACTGATTATTCAGATCATTGAACTTTTGCCTATACCGTCCAAAAAACCAAAGGCATGTGTATTTGTTTCCTGAAAGATGAACTCGCTATTGCATTTTATAGTCTGAAGGACTATTTGTTTTAATTAACACAAAAAAAAATTGCATTTTCGTCATGCAGTAACTCATTAAGTGCTCAAGCCTCCTTTGCAGGTTTGGATACAATGGGATGTTTCATGTGCTTGATCTGCATGCTGATAACAGGGGTTTGCATGTAGATCAAAAGAACGATACAACGCTGCATTGTCAGAGCTCTGCTTCAGCATCCAGCAGATGCTTGCTTGGAAGCCAACGCTTGGCTTATTTCCAAAGGCTTAATTCTAGCAATCAGCTCAAAACCAGGGTGCCACTTTTCCCATTGATATGTTTGTGCATGCAGACCTACCTTTGACCTCTCCCTGTTTGTTTTGTTGCAGTAAACACCTGAGATTTGCTCAGCTAATACAATAGCCCTGTACTTCTTGACAAAAACGCCTGTGGTTAACATCTGTGGGCTGAATTTTGCCATGAAATGAAGGGTGGTAGAAGTTAAACAACGGGTGTGACTACCACAAGATGAATGTTAGTGGGAAAGTGGTGTAACATCCACTTAGCATTCCAGAGATGTGAAATATAATTATGATTTAAATGCCAAGATGAGTAAGTAAGAGGACATGAAAGCTTCCCTTATCTTCCTTTCTGTCCCACTCAGAGTCATTTTGCACACCCACAAAACTAATACAAGTAGCGTCACTTGATGAAATTGCACCTAATACGTGACTTGTACCGTCACTTACGTTTCTGGCCGTGTGGGCTCTGTTTATACCAAGGAAAATGATTTCAGTTTCTTTTATGATGTTCCATGTTGAAAATAATTCTGGTCTCTCAGTGGCATTACTCCATGTTTACACTCTGAGATCAGAGTCTGACCCATGCTTTGAATGTCGTCCGCTTTACTCTCATCCTTGCCCATGATAGTGAGGGGGTGGAGAGCTCCTCACACCTTCATTTCTGTATCTCTGCAGGAATGGTTTATGAGCAGGTCTGTATTGTAGAAATTGTTGACTAAAATCACCTATGGGAGCAGCTGGTTGCTGAGTATACCTGGAAATCTGCTTAATGTGTTCTACGTCATCTATCATATGCAGGAAGGAGAAGCAACCATGCAAAACTGCAGCCGGTATCTCGGTGAGGGGCTGTGCAGCTCTGTATCCATTCCAACACTGAGAAATGAAAGAAAGGAAAAAGTAAATTCAAGGTGGAGGAGCAGAAGCAACCCATGGGGATTAAAAAAAAAAAAAAAAAAAGAAAGAAAGAAAGTTTTAGTCAAAATCCAAAAGCAGTAGGTGTGATTACAGCTCCAACCTAAGGGCATGCATGGCCCTGAGCTGTGCCTCAGAAATTGTCTGATGCATAGGTCAGAGTTTAATCCTGGATTCTAAACTTATTTTCCCCTGAAATTATTCCTGTTATTTTTGCTTTATGGATTACATGAGAACCTAAGCTCAAATTCTCCAGTTCAGAACTCCCTTTTAGTAGCTGTCATCAGGGAACAAAGAGCATTAGCAGCAATGCCAGAGGTGACACCCTCGAATGAAAGCAACGGGGTGAGGCCAGGAGTGGCTGGAGGTGAGGCCATGATCTGGGACTCGGCTTGTGCCAGGTCAGCCCTCGTAACTGAGCTGTTCATTCTCTGGAAAATAACGCACTCAGCAGAGGGAAGCGATGATTTTTCAGATACAAGTGCATGCATAGCTTTGAGTATGACTATTTATTTATTTATTTATTTGCCTGAAACAGCTGTAGAGTGGATAAAGCGAAGCATTCATTCCAAAGTGTTTGATGAGTTGGGACTACCTATCTTCTTTATTGCAGATATTTGTTTCCTAAACATTTGCTAGAAATAATTTCTGCTGGATAGGAAGGATCATTTTTGTATGTGGGGAAAATATACGATTGGTTAAATGTTTTAAAATATGAATACAAAAATGTTCTGTCTTAAGAACCAGATAAAAATAGTTTTATGTCTATACTTATTCAGGTCCACAATGGAGTTCATGAAACAAGCCTTTAAAACATGGCAATGCTTAAGACAAAAAGGGCTAGGAGTTAAAAGTTTGGATTTCTTAGCAAAAAAACGGTGAGCCAAATCCAGTCTTCAGGTTAGCATCTGTAACTGAATTTGGTAAGGGAAAGATCGTGTGAATGTGTGAAGCAACAGGAGGGCTGTGCTGCAATATTACCTGAAGGGTGGCTGCAGCCCCTTGAGCTCTATGGCCTGATTCAAAACCCTCTTGTGCTTTCCACGGTAACAGGAGTTCCCACAGGCTGCAGGGAGATAAAATACCAAGTTGTGAAAGTTTTGCAGATTTCCTGTACCACTAAGGCAGAGAGTGCTTCCTCCAGAGGACAGCTCAGGCTGAATTACCCTGCTCCAAGCTTCAGAGGAGCTATTTCCAGTGCGCAGGTCTGATTGCAGGGTAGCGTTAGCCACAGTAACCAGAGCTCCAGGTTGGCAATGGATCCTGAGACCTTCAGGTGTCCTCTCCTTGACTCTTGTTCCTCATTGCACCCATACGGTTACTCACTTCACAGTCCTGCTGCATTTTCCTTTTGGACAGAAAGGTACCTTTGACAATTCCTAAAGCAGAAGTCATGGTTTCAGCAAATCTAACCTATGTGGAGTAGAATCTGACTCCGGGGAAGAAGCGGTCTTGCTACTCCAGCAGTGTATTTGTCTCTCTCTGGTCTGCGATGAAGTCGTGGCACTGGTTCCATGACAAAGTACTTATTTACATAGAATGAGAATAGGATTTCACTTTTGATTTCTGATAAAGATTCCCAGCACACCTGGAGGCTGATTCAGGGGGCTCAGCAGGCAGTCAGCTCTCTGAAAATCAAGACAATCAGGACTTTCCTAAATCTGCAGGTAGTCTGCCTCTGTTGCAGTGCTTAGATAACATTGCTTTCATCACCTTTTCATCACATCAAACTTCGTCTGAATCGTTACTACATACTGTAATGGTATCACGAACAAGCTTCTCGGCACCTGACACCGATACTGGTTTCCAGCAATATTGTAAGTGGTTTTATCACGTACTGTATTCACAGGTCTCAAGGCACTTTGCAAAGACAGGGTCAGCATTGTTACACTAGAAAAGGGGACACTAGGTAAGAGTTTCGGTGACTTGCCCAATGTCTGTTGCAAAATAGCAGGGAAACAAAATCTGGCCATTCTGGAACCAGGACTCTGATTCAGCAAAGCATTACAGCAGGTGCTTAACTTTGAGCAGGAGCTCAAGCTGTTTGAATGGAGACAGATTTAAGTATTAGTTTAAATGCTTTAATGGACTGAGTCTTCAGCTTTCATCAGCTCATTATTGCTTACAGCTATTTCAGTTCTTCTCATAAGACACAGCAGACCTTTAGATGGTGGAAATATTTTTACACTAATTCAATTGTGTGAAAAACTAGTTTTGGTGGCCTTTTTAACAGCCCAAGTGTTCATGTATACATTTGGACTTTTGTGTTATTTTCTTTGTTTGGTTGGTTTTTAGATGACACCAGTTACTCGACAAGAAGTTCTTGGCCTTTACCGCAAGATATTCCGGATAGCCAAAAAATGGCAATCAGCATCAGGACAGGTAGAAGAAACTCTTAAAGAGAAAGAGTACATTAAGAAAGAAGCCAAAACATTGTTCCGAAAAAACAAAGATGTAAGTTGGTGTTCTTATAGATTTGAATTTCTGAATGATTCTTTTTTTGTGCTTTGTACATGTATTCTCTTAGTGACTGGATGCTGAGGTATGAATTTAAGAATGATTTCCCCAAATTTCCTTCACCAGAAATGCTGGTATAAACACATTATAAGGCATATTTGAGTTATAGTTTATTATTAAATTTCACCCCTGAAATAAGAAAACTCAAACCATTTCAGGTCTTTAACTCCTACAGAAGGCTAAAAGGTCTGGAGCTTTCATTAAAGAGCTCCAAGAAAAATAAGTTAATTCCAAAGATACTGCCCATGTAATTGAAGCACCTTTTGATCTTTTAGAAAGCTAGCAAAGTGTATCATTACCCATGCAAAGGCAAGCTGTGCTCAGTAGCATCTTATACTTGTTTTTCTCATTTCAAAGCAGCAATTATTGGCACTTTTCATAAAAGTCTCATTTATTTTTTCTTAAGGACAACATTTCAAAATTCTTTCAAGAGGGTCAAAACAGACTACATGGTAGTCAGATGTCCTTGTTGTAATCCAAGGTCATAATATTCTTTTATATCCCATTTCAGTGTGGGACTAAATTCCACTGATGCAAAAATAAAAATAATTTAAGTCCTAATTAACACCATATTTCTGACTTCAAAGGGATTTTCTCAATGGAACGATAACAGAATGTAGCCCAAAGAGTCTCTTTTTCTCCTCTAGCTACCTTGCAGTGTGATGAATGAGTGAGTATGTTTTTTCATGGATGTAATGGTAGTTTATATGTGTATTGCTTCTACGGATAAAATACCATGTTTGGGTAAAACCCTCCTTTCATACCATACTGTCATTTCTGACAACCTCTAGGCCTTTAATGCCTGGAACTATTGAGTCATGGCAAAGGCTAATGTTAAATTTTATGGATGTGCAAAATAAAATCATTGTATCCTTGGGATTGCCCAAAAGCAAGTCATATGGCTGTGCCACATTATTTATACTTGTTTCCAACTGCTAGTTGTTGTACAAAAATATATATTTTTTTAACTCTAAATCTTAGGTAACAGATCCAAAGTTGATTAAGCAGTGCATAGAAGAATGTGAGGCAAGAATAGAAATTGGACTTCATTATAACATCCCCTACCCAAGACCTGTGAGTATAAATCTATTCACAGACTTCATCAGTATCCACTTAGCTCTCACCTGACAATAAAATCGTAAGTTCATACTAGTGTCAGCACACTGCATTTTTAGATAAGCTTGTATTTAAACACTGTGCTAAATCAGAACCAAATAAGCTAACTACATTGAAACATTCTCAATTTCTTTTCTCACTTTAAGTTCTCACTTTGATTCCTACCTAGGGAGTCAAAACCTAAATGTAGTTGTCTGAGTTAAGCTCCCAGGGACTGTGACTATTAGGCAGCCTTGACTGACCAATGACTCGTAGGAAAAAAAGGTAACAGAATCAAATCCATTTGATCATCTTTCTACATAATTAAAAGAGAATAAAACAGATTCAAAATATTTCTTTACATCTGCAATAGATGTAATAACTTTCATAGCCTATACTACTCGTAATATATAAAATAATGTATACTACTGTTCTCCCTGACATAAATCGGGTCTTATAAAAACACCTTCCTATCTTGCTGATTCTTTTCACCTGTTCCTAGAGAAAAACCTGCCTTAGATTAGTGAAACTGCTGGAAGTTGTAACAGTATCTTCTATTGCACCATGCAATATAGGTTCCTCATTGTCCAGTCATTTCGGTCTGTATTACCTTATGCTGTATCCCACAGAGACTTCCTTCCTACTCCTGTTAATTAGTTTCCATTTTCACATCTATAGTTTCATTATCAAGCTGGTCATGGTACAAATTAATCTATGTCTTCATCAGATGCTTGCATAGAATAGGCATTTTTAGCATCTCTTTCATACGTGGCTCACTCTTTTGCTCCAGTATACAGAACAACAATGCACACCTGGCAAGCTGTGCTCCTAGAAACGGGCATCAAAACATAAGCTCTGCAGCAGCTCCTAAATCTTAAAGGATCAGTCCTATATCATCACTCTCACATAAACTGGATGATCATTGTTTTTCAGATTCTATAAATGTCTGTTGCTGGTTTAGTCAGTAATTTTACTACTATTTGCACCTAAACAGCTGTCTTAAAGGGTGATAGTTTCAGCAACAATAGCACCTGACTGCTAACACCTACATTTTTTTCAATTGCTTATGGGGGGATATAGCTGCAAGACTCCTACTCCCAGTCTTAAAAAGTATAAAGACTTTGTCAATCAAAAGAAAATCCTGTCACCTATCGAGCCTTCTGCTTGTAGAATCAATGACACTGAGTGTGCATTTGAATATAGTATATATAATTCTGACAACAAGAAGGCAGTCTTTCAATATATACAGCTTGGGGTTATTTTGTGGCTTGCTAGCTGGGTATGAGTAAAGCTTTAAGAATTGTGCTCAGAAATGTGTAGGGTTTTCTGGGTCTTGCTGTGCTGGAGTAGTGCCAGCAGTCATATTTCAACATCTCAAACTGCAGAACAGAGTTACTAAAGCTTAAAATATATAGGATTTTAATAAAAACAATGTTTAAGGCCTCAAAGTCATGCTATTAATCACTCTTCAGAGAGTTCTCTGCCTAGAAATCTAAAAACCTGGTTTAAGACAGTACAGTTACCCTCTCCAAAGTGTGAGAAAAGTATTTAAAGCTCAAAGAAATCTAACGTGTATATATGCTATTTTGCTTTGATTTTATTTTTTTGTCGGTGGTGGTGGTTTTGGTGGTTTTTTTTTGGTAGTTTCTCCATTTGTGCCTAACTGATGGGATTTTCTTTTCCAGATTCATCTGCCTCCTATGGGTCTTGCCCATAAACAAGGCCGTACATTTCGACAGCAGGAAAAGTTGAGGAAGATTTCTAAGCCAATATACCTGAAATCCCATGATGAAATTTCATAACCCATCACTGAACTGTGATGTGTTTGGACTGTAATTCAGGTGATTTTTGTGCACAACTGTGAACAAAGCTGTTTTGGTCACTTGCTCCCACATTTTCTGAGGCCAGAAAGATAACTGATGTAATGCATATGATGGATAAGGTTGGTCTAATACTATTCAACCATTGATTCATCAATAAAAGTAGCACTTCCCAAGGAGTGAGGTGTGATACGAAGATTACTTTGGCATCAGGACAAATTACAGCAGTTTTTCAAAATTTGTTAATCTGTAGCAGGGTTCTTTGGAGGTTTGAGGATTATATATGCTCAATTTTGAGTTAAGGCAGTGCCTTGTGTCAGCAAAAAGCAAGAAAGTCCGGGAGAATAAGGCGGGTCACAGTGCCTCAAGAGCTCATGAATTTAAGTGGGAACGTGGTGACTGCCACATGCAGCTGCACTCCTTCCTCTCCTGTCCCTGCTGTGCCTGTTGTCCCTAGAGAAATGTGCTGGTTTCATAGTGCCCTTATGGTGAAGTATATTTTCTAAGGGAACAGGAGCAAAGAGACAGCAGAAATGCCACCGTTTGTTTTTTCCTTTTTGCACACTGCACAGGAATGGTGTGGAGCCTCTATGTCAGCTTCACCTTCCTTTGGAGAGGGCATGGAGATGAAATGCAAAGCTTGGAATCCCATTACACAACTAAGAGCAAAACATTCCAGTGTTGGATTCCTCATGTTCTCATGTATGAACTGACTGAAAACTTTCCCTTCAGGGTATCACTGCAGAAGCAAACTTAAGGTAATTAATCTTCCCTGTGCGTTTTTACATGCTTAGTCTTTCAACAAAATCAGCACCCTGGCTTTCTCAGCAATTATGTTCGCATTAGGTTTTTTACTGATGACATACAGAACAGAATGACAGTTCTTCCCCCAAGAATGTACTTACAAGAGTGGGAAAAAAAAAAAAAACAACAGGCAGATGAGAAAGTACAAGGAAACAATGAGAAGAGCTAGTCAGCATGACAGGTACTGGCTAGTCCAATTTCTGACTACCTTTTATGGCTCCAGTCCACAAAGCTATCTATTCCCATATAATTATTTCCTTGGAATGCCTTATGTGGGAAGTACTTTGCACTGAACATGTTAAATGCCATTGTTTTGCCTGTCAGTGGGAGCTTTGCAAATTTACTGATGCCAAGAAAACACAAAACTCCTTTAACGTAGGAAGAGGAGGGTTAAGTCAGAGACAGTAAAAATAACATTATGTGCCGCATAGTCCTTCACTGAAAGAAGCTCTTTCTTTTCCTGTCCTTAGTTCTGATACACTAATGTGGAGATATGTCAGCTAAACCAAAGCAAACCTTGTAGAGACAAGGGTTTTGAAAGGAAGCTTAGGCTTATTCTTTGTCATGAAACTATGACTTTAATCTTTTTAATTTTTAAAATTTATGTGGCTAATGAAGATACTGATGCTGTGATTCATCAGACATAGAGTCATGTAAATAGGCAGTCTAAATTTACTGTCTGTTTTATAGGCACAACTCTTTCTTGAGTGAGCATCCATCCTTAAAATTATGGACATTTTACGTGAAATTGAAATAATAGTATGAATTTAAGTTTATTTCTGAAGGGAAATATAAATATTCAGTTTTTTAAAAGGCTCAAGTAGACTACAGAAACTTAGATGAGTATCCAACTTGTTCAACTGAAAATCCAGTTAAAGTTGAACTTCTGTAATAGCATCACATTATTTGAGATGCTTTTAAATGCTAAACAGCCTATTAATTTTCCAAAGTAAGTGTTTGAGAAATGATTAACTGCTGACTGATCCTCATCACTTTCTAGCACCAGGAGGCAAAGACTGAAATTCCTTAAAACCTCAGGCTGTTCAGCTAAAGGAAGGACTACATCAACTCTATTGTCGAGGTTGGAGAGCAAAGCCATTCTTTCACAGCTCAAGTTAAACATTGTATGAGGCAAGAGAACCAGTCTCAAACAAGAGTCCTTTGTTTTTGAGGTCAAAGGTTGGCAGATGTCTCAACTGGTACTCCTTTAAATTCCAAAGACCACGTAACTTCTGTCAATAAGTATTCCTACACATTAATTTTAATTGCAAAAAGATGCTGCACTGAAATGCCTCTGAGTTCTTAAGAGTTTATCACGCACTGGATTCAGTCAGTCAGTGTACACTCTGTCCTGTACTTCCTTAACTCCTCTTACTCTCCTTCCAGTAAATACTGTCTCTTTCCAATTTATCATGCTAGTCAGGAGATGTTTTAGAATAATAACCTGTCAGATTAATTGGATATTCCTTAGAAATAAAACCTGAGTCAGCTTCCTGAACTCTCCTGCAAGCTAACTAGTAGACAATGCATGGGTGATTTGTTGACAGGACATGTGGCCTTGAATATCCAAATATCATCTCTTCCCTGGAAATCTTCTCCCTAATTTCATCATTAGAAAGGTTACAACAAATGCAGCCAAGCATTTATAAACCCAAGCTTAACACTATGATCATTTAAGATCATTATGCAATGATCATTTAAGCAGATATCAGACTTGGGACCTGAATATGCCCACTCAATATTTTCTAGGGGTGAAGAAATTCTGATTAAGTTGCCACAGTGACCCAATCTATGCCAAGGGAAGTATCACAAAACAGAGTTTAAGAAGGAATCGGTCATCTGATACATCTTCCTAGTAATGCAAGTTTGTTCCTGTAATCCCATTTAGATCTGGAGAAAATAAGGCAACCTCACTCTTTTGGGGCCCTACTATAAGTCTGTCAGAACTGACATCAGTAATATCCAGCTTTTATCCACAAACAGAACAGTCACTTATTCGATCACACCTATGAATTCAATGTCAAGCATACTAAATACAGGAGAGACCTGCACCTTTCCCTATTTTCTCTAATTGAATTCTAGCTTACAGGAATCTCTCAGTAGGAGAATTTGAGGCCTTTACATTGTCTTTTTGCCTTCTCATTGTATATTTTTCTCTTTTAGCAGCCCAGTGTTTTTAACAGTGTTAAAATCAGATGTGACCCTTTCTATTTCGGAAACAGCTTTTGTACAGATAAGGTGTAAGAAAAGTTTGCATTTCCTGAGAAAATGTACTAACCTAACCTGTCTTACAGCATCCCCAGCTGAAAGTCTATCTGCTGTTTTTAAGGAACGAATCTCTCTTGTTCTGTAATGCCTGTATACTGCATTTTTTTCCATCGGCTTTGAGTTATTAGTAAGGCTGAGAATCTATGATTTGTAATAATTACAGGTTGGGTTTGTGTGTGTGTGTGTGTGGTTTGTTTAATAAGAGTTTCTAATTGAGAAAGGGAAATCGTAAGTCTGTAGAGTCAAGAATTCTATTACTACTGCTACAAGGAATTTCATATGTCCTTTTTTTTCCTTTTTATAATGAGATTAAAGTTGGTCCAACTAAGAGTTGGGTTGCCTTTTTTTTTTTTTTTGAATGCATCTCAGCCAAGAAAGGTTGTGAGGTCTAATGTCTGGACCGTGAGTGTATCGTTCTTCAGGAAGGCACAGACAGTGCTCAATAAAAAGTTGGGAAGTTCATTTTCAATAATCAAAAGAATCACAGAAAAATCTCTCTAACAGAGTAAATTCCACTGCTTTCTCTCTAATAGTAAGGGCAGCCCAGGAAATCACATACCTCTTCAAGACTTCAGTGTTTATCAGCTAAAGCAATTCAGCTGTACCTGATCCCTGGCAACGGGGGACATAGCAAATGACAGATAAATGAACCCTCTCTTAAGGACTTCTCTATTATTTAGATATTTTGGTCACATCTACAAAACCTTGAATTACATCTTTAAATATGTTCTAAGAGATGCCTTAATCTCAAATCTAAACATTAACACAGAAGAAACATTTAGAATATCAACACAGCCTTTGTACACAATATAGTAGCAAAGCCACTGTATATTCACAAGACCCACAGCTGTCATTTAAATAACTATCAGCTAGTGTTTGTTCACGAAAAGACAGTAAAAAGAAACCCACACAACAGACTCCATATTTTTCAATGGTTCAAAAGTAATTGATCTCAAAAAAATATAATTCAGCTAGCATACACTACTGAATCTGGCTTTTAATTTATAATGGCTTACTTTAGAGGACTGTTTACAGAACTAGCATTATCCAAAGAAGGAGGGAGAAACTCAGTCCTAAAATTTTAACTTCTCTCACATCAAGTGATCATAGTCAGTTACATGCATAAGCTCAAATGTAAAAAGAAAGCTCCTTTCAAGAGCAGTGGCTCAACTGACTGATCCACAAGGAAAGATCTACAGCCAGGTCCAGGCTCCTTGGACTATGTGCAAACAGGCTGGTGACTGATTTGTTTTATCTGATGTCACAGTGACCTAATCAGTGATCTGATAATCACAACAATTAGATGCAACTATTCAAAAGTATTGTAATTACCACTTTGTTTAAATACGTACTAAATTTCAGTTAGTTTTAATGATATGAAAAGTAGAAACTGTCCATGTTACTTTTATGAAAACTAAGAAAGGATTATGTTTCTAAAGGAGAAATTTTAATTAATCTTAATTTACTTATAGAACTTCTGTATAGTTCTCACCTCAAAAATGATGTCATTGTGGGTGACCATGTAACATTCATATACAAAAAATCTTATCTTTGCTGCAGGTGTCAAACATAATTTCATCTGAATTGTTACGGGTAGTTTCTCCCTATCAGTAAGTTGAAAGACCTGTATGCCTCTGTTCCCTTTATTAAAACAAATATCCATTAAGTGTTCTTGCTGATATCTTTGCTCTAGTCACCATGTAGCAATCATGATGCACTGAATGCCTGCATACTGTACTACTTATGAGGCATCATTAAATAGGGTACATACATAAAGATACTGTACTAATTACCTATGGATTTCATTATGTAGAACACTGTACAACATACCTGTAAATACTTCTTACTACTTCTTGCTTACCTGTGTGTTGCCATTCTTAAACGTTGCTATTTCGTGAATAGCTATATAAAACAAACCAGTGGTTAATAGAACAATAATGAACACTTTTCTCCTGTAACAGCTAAGCATGACACAACAGATAAGTTCCTAGTAGTACCACTGTAGCAGGATACTAGGAATTGCTGAATTAAAGCTACATCTCTGACTTTGTGAGGCTTCAAGCAAGTCATTAAAATGCTGCAATTTGGGCAATGAAAAAAAAAAATACAAAACCTGAAATTAGTGGATGTTTATGTGTTTGTTTTGTTTTGTTTTTAAATGCTTGTCTTGATCTTTGTGTTTCCCTTATACTGTGTGTACAAAAAGTCTAATGATCCATCTTTAGTACCGTCTTGGCATGCTGTGGGGATTAGTTAATTACTGCATAGCGCTTTGAAGATGTTCAGGCTATTTTATTTTTAATTAATGTTTGCAAGCTACCTTGAGCTTCTCTGATGAAAGGCTTAATTACAAAATATCAGGTGGTTTATTAGTCTCACATGCAAGAGGGCCAGACAAAGAAGTGAACTGAGACCATGGGAGAAAGGAAACATAGCTCCATTTATCAGGTACTTGGGATATGTATGTAAGTAATACTGAAATTAGAAAGTTAAGAAATTATGAGACAAGTATACTGCTCTGAGAAATGGCAGGTTCCCAATGCATGTGGTATATAGAATTCTTCCACAGAAGTTCTGAGGCACGTGTTCAAAGAGTGCCAGATATTATAGTTTTATAATACAGCTCTGGCAGTTAATTCTAGTGGAGGATTAGTTTTACATGTTGAGAACAGTCTATGCTTGTGCCCTCCCTCCTTGCTCTATATTATCCTGGGACATAGAAGTTGTAAGCAAATCCAGAGAGTCCTATTTGCAAGAGCTCTGCCTTAGATTCCCATTAAAATTAGCAGCAAAACTCTTTGGGCCCAATTTCATTGGGGGAAAAAAGGCGCCATGACAACAGCAAGCTGATAATATTAGAATTTCACAAGATTTGCAATAATATGGATGGCACACAGCTTGATGGGAGTTCTGTTTATTCTGATGTATTGCAAGACAAAGCACAGGCCTTTGAAATAAGTTTCTGTTTGCAGTATTCTATTTTCACTCACTCCTGTCTAGTGGCTGAGAATGGCTAAAAAAACAAAGGAAATTGGGAGCTGCTTTAAAGACAGCAGGAGGTAGTGATGTTAAAAATAAATAAATAAAATAAAGGCAGCCATTGGGGAGTAAAGTGTATCTTTTAATTACAAAATACGAGTGTTTTGACTTGCATACTCTCAGTCATCTAACTGGCATAGTGCTGCCACACCTCGATTTATCCAGTGTTTCTGGGGCTTGTCTGAAGGGAGTTCAATTGAAAGAACATAGTTGGTTGAGTGGCCAGTAGTAGATAAGACACCTCTTCTTGCACTTGTCTTGTATACAGGGCATGAATAGATATTCATATGACGAAATCTAGAACTTTCTCCAGGTTTGAACCAAATTATGGGTAAGGAATCATGAAGGATTTTTGGAAGTGATTCTCCAATCACCAAGGATTCTCTATCCCATCGTGCACCTTCCAAAAAAAGGCCTTTTATATAAGCTCCATCTTCCGGCATTTTTTCCATTGTGTGCTCCTCTTTCATCACCTGGAATGATGAAACCATTTGCTTTATTTTATTTTTATCTGGAGTATATTAAATCCTGTACGTGATAATCTGAAATTACTCATTTAAATACAATTTCTTTTCATTTGAAAACTCTGTTCCCTGCTGCTTCAGAACATGTTTCAAGCTGTTCAAGAAAAACAAAATTCCTCTGCATTTTCTTACCTCAAATTCAAATCCAATATGGTCAATTGGTATGGTGTATTTTCTAGCATAGTTTTGTAAAACACCTGTCAAAAAAGACTGCGTGAAGTAGAATCCTGACAGCCAAAAGACTGTGGGTGCCCCATTGGTGACCCAGTCCTGAATATGGAGAGAAAAAAAACAAATAGAATTAAAGATACATTTTGTGGCTTCACTGTATAAATTCACCAGAAAGGGTTGTCTTTTTCTGAGATAGAGTTAAACAGCACAATAGGATCTAAGCCTTGATTGGATGCTCTGGATACTACCATTCAGTATATATTCATATATTATAAATTTATATATTTTATATATATATACACACACACACACACACACATATATATATTATAAATTACATATATATGTGTGTGTACATATACATATACACATGTATATATATACACATATAAATGCACACTATACATATGTATATATATATATATATATATATAATGTTGTCCCTAAATATATATACAAATTACCAAAGTCGGTTATTTTAGATGGTAACAAAAATAATTACTCATTCAACAACTGGAACTCAGCGCTACTGAAAGAAATTTCAAAAAGTAGCATAACCATATTATGGTTATAAATAGTGTGAGTCTAGATGCTAGTCAGCAATAAGCAAACAAACAAACAAACAAGGAATACTTTTATCAATATACCCTCTCTTACAGTCTTGTAAACCCAGATTTCCTAACATGAAAAAAGGTTGGATTTTCTCACATAGTATCTTTTTCTATCACTATGAGGGCAATCTATCACTACAGCCAACAAATAAGAACCTTGTAGTGAAAATCATTCCTATACAAAGATGCCAGACAAGGAGATCTTGGACTAGTATCTGCGTTGGAAATCATAAAGGCAGTAAGGCAAGGACAGAATGTCCCCACACTAGCCTAAGCCATTAGGAGCCAAGTTAAAGAAACTCATATAGTACTCTAATTCAGCAACCATGAAACTCTGCTGCTCATACAAGACTTCCAGACACTTCTTTTTAGGTTTCTCGTCATATGATTTGCATGGGATTCCACTACATCTCAGTACCTCAGCAATTCAAGGTACATCTGAAACTCTAAGCAATTTAACGAGTACACTAAGAATGCGAGGGAAATAATGGAAGGCTGAGTAAAGAATCAGCGTGTTCAAAAGGTATGTGGAAGTTGTGTCACTGTTTACTTAACTTCAAAGAAATTCAGTCACGCACATAAAATATAATAGTGCCTCTTATACACCATAGGTTTGTTTCTAAAGCATTCTTACTCCTAGCTCAGTGTTCTTTGAGCAGAGAAGTCATTATGATATCAATGGAAAATAAAATGCATCTTCTAGAAGTAGAAAAATTGAAACTACTAAATGCTGCACTGGAGTAGCACCAAAGAATATATTCCTGGACTCACCCTTCAGAGCAGTGGCCCAGCAAATTCCAATGCTATTAATGTAGTGTGTATTTGGTCATGAATGTATGCAAATAGTTCACAATCTGGAGCTACTGGGGGTACTGCTGAGTGAGGACAATACAGATACAAATTTTATCCATTCAGCTTTCAACTACCCAGTCTTTAGACCTGTCAGTCTCAGTTTAGCATACCTGGAAGAAGTTCAAACGACAGAGCAAATCAGACACATAGCTGCCCAGCGGCTTCAATGATGGATAGGATTTGACAGCCCACATTGATGGCACTTTTCCCATTAGCATGCTGTTGAAAACATCTTCAAGTTCAGATGACATCAACACTTGCCCTTTGATGGCTTTGCCTAAATTAACAAGGCTGCTCCGAACAACTTCAGTAAGCCTTCAGATAAAAAAGAAATTCCCACCTCATTATTTACATATACTTTTATCTGGCTATAGACCTCCAACTCCAACCTGAAGGAAGGGCTGATCAAAGCTTGGGAATATCCTGTCAGAAAATCTTTATCCCACATGTAGTAATCAAAACTCTGATTTAACTTGGAAAAAGCAAACAAACACACACAGATACAGAAAAGAAAGATAGGGAAAATTCCTGTTCTAGACAAAAGAAATCAAATTACAAGAGTTTTAAGATCCTGACAGTAGCTAATGTAGTGTGTTGTGAATATAAGGTAATTGATATAACTTAAAAAGAATAATGTAGGCTGCCCCATCTCAACAAAACAAATTCAATTCTGATTTAAGTTCACACTCCAAGAAAGTAGGTTCTGTTTCTATATTCAGGTACTCAGCTGTGGCTTTCAGGTTTTTCTAATAAGGTTCATCTAAAGCATAATCTTCCATCTTAAGAAGCACGTATTGTGAAAGGCTTTTAACTGTTCAAAGCTTGCCAGCAGCTAGCACTGACAAACAAGCATTTTTCAGTCTTAGTAATGCTACACAAAACATTGAACCATACCTGTTAAATCGGATCAGTTCTTGCCTAAGAACTGTATTCATAGACTCTTCATAAAGTACTGGGTATATCTTCATAACCTCTTCAACATCAAAGTCACTTGGTAATTTGGTAAGGATGTCCTGTGCCAAATCTTCAACAGTTTTCTGAAATCACAAACTTACTGTGAATTAGGACTTTTCATTTTTCCTATTTCTATTCAAGAAATTCCTCAAAATATTATGGACTATATGTTTTTGCTGTATAACCACATAAGTATTTTAGTCCATTTTCCTAATGCTTACATGATCATACTCTCTTTGTTCATCATCTTGTTTGTCTCCGCATGTGCCTGCTTGCTCCTTCTCTCTTCTTAATAATTTTACATTTGTTAACAATTGGAGTTTAATTTGAAAAAAGGTTTTAGGCAAATTCTGAGGTAACAGGCAGCAGGACAGATGAGCATAATCCTACTATTGCCACAATGAAGGAAAAGACAAAGTATGCAGCATGGGAATAATGAAAATGTGAACATCCCAGCCATGAGAGAAGCGTAATTTTCAGCGCATTAAACATCAGAGAATACAATCACTATACAC